GGGGGGGGGGCCGGCCGGCCCCCAGCCAGCGCCACACGGCCGGAGCCACGGCGGCGGCCACCTCCATCCCGCTGACCCCGACGCCTCCGCCGGCGCGTCGCGCCGCCCCGACGTCATCGCCGCGGGCGGCCTCCCTCCCCATCACGGTTCCGATTGGCTCCCCCGCGCCGCCGCACTGGAGAGCGGAGCTGTCAGTCAGGGCCGGCGTCCCCCGGCTGCCGTGGGAACGGGGGCGGGGCGACCTCCGGAGGTGGGAGGGGGCGCTCCCCCGAGCGGCAGCGCCAGACGCCCCCTGGCGGCGCGGAGGTGCTAGCGGCCGGCGGCGCCAGCTGGGGGCCCTGAGGGCCCGGAAAGGCCGGTCAAAGGAAACCCGCTCAAAAAACATCAGGCGTCATATCTAAAAAAAGAGTAGTATCATTTATTGAATGTTAATTTCTTTAAAATGAAGGCAGAAAACATTCCGAAACACGATGTAAAAAGAATAGCCTCACATACTAGCTAGCGGTGTGCTACTGGCACATTTCAAGTAATACAGTTCTGCACAGAAAATCCTTAAGAACGATCTTTAACTAAAGGAAACAGCAGTTTACTGAGAAATACTGTTCCCTCCAAGACACACAGCTCCATCATTTAATTTAAGCGAGAACAAACGTGAATTTAAATGGTACTGACACATAAGTTTCTGGATGCTGCGTTTCCAAACTATAACTAAACTCTCTAACGTTCACATTTTAGAACAAAGAGAACAGTAGTCAAGACGTTTGTACAAGAATAAAACACAAGTAATAATGCCTTAACACATTTAAATTAAAAAAATGAAATAAAAAAAAAGCTACTCCACAGCAGTGAGGCTGGTACCCGAGCAATGGCTTTCCCTGTGACAGACGTGCACCGCCCGGTGACCCGACTGGTGGTCTCTTCCTATATCTCAGGGTTTATTCACAGCTCTTTTATCAGCTTGTTTTCTCTGAACCATGTTGCAAAGTTATCCAGTGTTCAACTGCACTCGCTATTTCAGAGCAAAGTAAGTATCAAAATCTCTTCTCTGAAAATATTTAGAAAACCGATTTCAAACCCATGCCATGTTTTCTTCTCCTGTGCACTATTTCAAAATACTGACATACATCTCTGGTTTTAAGAGAGAAGTGAGTTGGAAACATGTAAAACCACACTTCCCCCCCCCCCCCCCGTTTTTAAAGCATAATTTGTAAAAACAGTACAAAGTTATTAAACAGAATTTCAGTTCTGACCCCATTTTACCAAAACCCCTGAAAAAATAGGGACTTAAACCCCAACAACCCTGAAATTGTAGCAGCAACAAAGTGTCCTACTATACAATTTTCTGGACAGGTCTAACACAATATAAATTAACTAAATTTCCAGTCTTGGAAACTTCCAAGGCCCACTAGCATAATCAAGACTAAGACTGCAGTGCCAGGGTGCCAGTCAGCTGCTCGTTTTTTAAGTGCTGCAGATGCTTCTACTCTTATCTAGTGGTTCTGGGAATTTCAGGAAGTCAAGTTCTTCTGGCTTTTAGTGTTTTTCAAGGACGGCTCTGAGCTTCTGTTATCTTTCTGATTAAGAACTGTTTGTCACGACTCTCCTGGAAAGACAGGATAAAAAGTAAGCTCTAGATGAACAGAAGTAGTACAAGTTATTTATGAAAAGCTCGTTTCTTTATTAGAAATAAATAGGTGCACTCACCACATTGTACTCTAATTAGTGGCTCCCAGCATACCCTCAACTGCCTGAACAATTTTAAGTTCCCAATAGTCTTGAATTCATTTATCTCATGTTAGGTCACATATTAACAGTTCTGCATTGAGCCTAGTAAAAACATCTCATACACCTAAAAACTTAAAACCATACTTCCAAAGAAGCCTAACAACGGTGAACAAACAAAAATAAAAAGCATGCAAGGATTTTCAGAATTCCTAACTGATTTGGGAACCCTTGAAAAAGCAGTAAGGCTTTTGCTCTTAAATTCCTTACTCTTGAAAAATCTTTCCCTAGCACAGTGTTTTTCTAAGGACAGGTTGTTAAATGCCATATCTAAAAGAAGCACATACCAAGAAATGGGCTACTTCCTAAGAAAGTGAGAAGTCTTACTATTGAGGCTAGGTTCTGACTAGAGCAGAGTTTGACAGACCACAGCGCGTGAAGGCTGTCAAACATGGCAGCAGCTTTTGATGACCACAAAGACCTGTGCTCAGGAATAAGACCAGACATGATGCAGCAGAAACATAGGCCTGGAGGGAAGAGTAGGGAGTTGGGTGCCTGTTTGTGAGAGTGGAGAAGGAAATAGAGGTGGGGGTTCTGTAAGATGGTGGAGGGGACAGGAAGCACAAGATTCAGGTTCTTGTTTAGCAGAAAAAGACCCATGCAGATGGGTGGAGTTAAGCAAGACAACAGATGACCAGGGACACCGCTTCTCAGAGGCCTATCTCATATAACCAGACCTTGCTGCAGTTGCAGCTGATACCCAGGAAAACCAACCAGACTGAGAAATACTATAGTGCTTCAGTAATTTTTCCTGTGTAAATTCTAAAACATTCTTCACTGCCTGTGTAAACACCAAGTATCCAGAAGACTACAAAAACTGTTGTTCCTCTGCATGCCTGATTACTGACACAGCAATGAAAACTTTAGGGGTAGAGACAAGTGGGTCAAATCTTACCATAACCAGTTGTTCCCTCAGCTGCTCAACCACTCGTTTGTGTGCTCCAGCCAAGGCAATAAAATAGAACATAATGAGGCTGCGAACAACAACCCGACATTATATGTTAACAGCATGCAAAACAGAATTAGTCAGAAAAAGGCTGTTATGGGCTAGAGGAATTGGTGGTTTGTGCATTTGCTTCAGATAAGAAGCTGCTGGAGGAAAAAAAAAATTAAAAAAAATCAATATACAGCTGGGGTAGATTGGGCATAGCTCTGCTCAAAAGCACCTGCTGAGATATTTGTGCTGTCAGCAGGCAGGGACAGAGTGCTAGGAGATGTAGAGGCATGGCCACTTTCAGATGTTACAGGTTGTGTTCTGACAGCTCTCTCTAGACTGTCAGTTCCTGCCCCGCTCTAAGCGTATGTATGGGGGGGTTGCTCTGCGGAAATTAAGTTTAATGAGGTTTCACTGGAGTAACTCTTTGCTCCCATTGGGGTTTCTAACTATGGTAAGCAGCCACAGATCAGTATTGCAGCCATTCCTTCTAGCACATATTCCAGCTGTAATCTGTAACCCAAATTATCCACAGTGCATTAAATTATTACGAGCAGTACCAAGAACTAGAATAGCAAAAAATGCCTATATAAATCATGTATTTTCTTTTCCAAATAATAAGCAGGAGGGTAGCAGTGGAAGTCAACCTCCACCTCTTACACAGGCTTTATGATAAAGTAAAAAAAAGAAAAAAAAATCCCAAACCAAAAAAGAGGACTTGATATTTCCTGTGTACGCAGTAACAGGTTCCGTTCAGGAGAACGGATAAACATGTGTTATGGAACAAAAGGCTGGGTGGAGTCTGAAATAAACTGCATGGTTTCTCAAGTGTAGACGTTGTAGAAAGTATCAGGTAACAAGGCTGCAAGATCTGAAAACAGTTGGATTAAACTGAAATGCAAAAAATTCCATTTTAACCTAAGAAAAAAAGATTTTTACTGCAAGAGTGACCAAACCCTGTAACAGGTTGTCCAGAGAGGTTGTGGAGTCTCCACCTTTGGAGATACTCAAAACCTAACTGGACACAGTTCCCGAACACCTGCCCTACTTGACTCTGTTTTGAATAGGGGTGTTGGATTATATGATCTCTACAGCTGACCTCCAACCTTAAAAATTCTATGATCCTATACTGAATTTTATTTTACAGTATGACTGTTTTGGGGGTTTTGTTGTTGGGATTTTTTTTTTTTTTTAAACCAAGGTTTGCAGATACAATTTGTGATCACAGGGCTAACAATACTAATTTGCAGAATGATTCGCAGTTAACACTTGAAAAAGACAAGTGTGGGATAAGGGACATGCAAGAGGAGCTGGAATAAAGCTAATGAGTGTGAACACATGGGCAAAGACATAAGAGCTGAGGATTCGTACGGGCTTTGATGCTTTTGACTGCAGATGGAAAATCTGGTCTTATAGTTGTTTGGTATCAGTTCAGTAAGGAAGGAAATGAACCATGCAGTTGCATGACTGAATCAGGTCTCCACAGTACTCACCAAGTGACCATAAAAAAAGGCACTGCAAAGGCTTCTGATGCTATGCCATGAAGGACCTTCTGCAGACCTGTTGGAAATCCAAGTATTGTATCTGGAACAACTGCCCATGAAGTGTTAAAGCTCCTGAATGGACCACATGCCTTGGAGGAGGGGATACTGTCAAAGAAGCAGAACAGAAAGGAGATGCTACCCCAAAATGTAACGATTAAATAATCCAACACGAGCCCAGCACCATTTTGCCAGTGGGGTAAAAGTGTCCTTTGTCTTTAAAACTGTAATTTTTGTTTATATGAACTAAGTTATAATTTGATTTATTATACACCATATATTTTATTCCAATTTATCATTCCAAACTTGTGTGCCTGTTTTTAGGGAACTGACAACCTTAGAACAAATGTGAACTTCACAGAAGTTAAATTGTCACTTACTGTGCTATGCTGATTCCCAAAGGAATAAAAGCCAAGACAAGCCCAATCAACAGCACCACCAAGAAGAAAAAATTGGAACTTGATGCTCTGACAGGCCTAGCCGCAGGTTTACATGTGTGTATCAAACTGATCTGAAGAGGGAAAACGAGCAAAACTGTTACCAGTAGATCTACATACATACATCCAGGTATACCTTCCCCACCAACTGAATTTTCAGCTGAACATTCTCAAATATGCTGCCAGCTATCATGTAACCATCCTTCCTTTGATGTACATGGACTGAAAATGGCCAAGAACACTTTACATTCTGGTGTAAGTCAATGTCTCCTAGTTTGAGTAAGAATTTGATCCAGAAGGCCTGTCATGGTTTAACCCCAGCCAGCAACTAAGCACCATGCAGCCGCTCACTCACTTTCCCTCCACCCAGTGGGATGGGGGAAGACAAGTAGAAGGAAAAAGGTGAAACTCATAGGTTGAGATAAGAAGAGTTTAATAGGACAAAAAGGAAGAAACTAATAATGATAATAATAACAATAATAATAAAATAACAGTAATAATAAAAGGATTGAAATATACAAAACAAACGATGCACAATGCAATTGCTCACCACTCACTGACCGATGCCCAGTTAGTTCCTGAGCAGCAATCCCTACCCAGGCCAACTCCCCTGTTTATATAGTGGGTATGACATCACATGGTATGGAATACCACTTTGGCCACTTTGGGTCAGCTGTCCTGGCTGTGTCCCCTCCCAACTTCTTGTGCCCCTCCAGCCTTCTTGCTGGTGGGACATGAGAAGCTGAAAAATCCTTGACTTAGTCTAAACACTACTTAGCAACAACTGAAAACATCAGTGTGTTACCAACATTCTTCTCATACTAAATCCAAAACATAACACTATGCCAGCTACTAGAAAGAAAATTAACTCTATCCCAGCCGAAACCAGGACAGGACCTCATACACTTGCACAGAGTCAACTGACATAGTCATTTGGTGTATGATCCGTGGCACAGCCTTTAGCTTTGTTCTGCCACATCTTCACTGGATACATCCCCTCTTCTAAGAGCTGAAGTTTCAGTAAGAATTTGACGCATCGAAGGAGCTGTGTGGTTACAGAGCAAAGCTTCTGGTATGCAGAAATCACACCCTGAACATCAAACCCAGCTTGGATTTTCCATTCTGCTTCCAAATTTTTAGCAGCTTGGCAGAATTTTGTCCAAGTTCTAAGCTGTGTTGTTAGTAAATAGATTATTGCAGAAAAGTGTTCTAAACTAGTTTTATTACATAAAAAGATTTTATTTAAAAAAACCCAAATAATTGAACAGGTAGTTATTAAAATGTTGGTTTGCTTGATTTCAAAGCAAAATTCTACCTTCTCTTAAAAGCAAAAAACCTACAGAAAATGGAATACCATTACCTCATTTCCAGTACACTTCAACCTTGGGTGTTTTTAGGGGTTTTTTTGTTTATTTTAAATCAACTGCATACCTGTATCACAAAAAACAGCGATGTGCTCAATTTTGTTTGTTTACCACATGCCTTTGTTACCTTTTTAATGTAAAAGATGATGAAATATTTTATAGTTGCTATTGCAGGGAGGAGTGGTGAAAAGAAGGTTCCGATCCAGCAGATAGTCTGCCCGTAAACAATTTCCAGGACATTGTCAGGAATTCCAAATTCCTGCAATCCACACCACTGAACTGGTTTGCAAGAGCAATGAGTAACTAAGAACCTAAAACCAAAGAACAGCATTAGTTCTAAATTGAAGTTATAGAGCTTAGCTTAATTCTAACACATTTGGAACACAAAGATATTTAGCATTTAGGCATTAGACAACATAACAGAAAAATGTCGGAAGAAAAAAAAGACTCAGATATCAAAACCTATACAGCCACCTGAATAGCAAACAAGTGCTCAAACCACCAGAAATATGTTTATGTTTTATTTTAAAACTGGTAATCTGGTTAGAAATAGGGGGAATTAATAACAGAAAAAAGAAAACGTGTTTCATATGTCATTTGCAAAAGTATGCTCAAAAGGCAGAGATACTTACTTTCTAGGAAAGTCCACAAACAGAGTCACAGCAAGAATTATAATAAAATCAAATATCATCAGTTTATACATTTCTTGCCCAACTGCAGATTCCCAGCACTATAAAAACAAGTCAGGAAAAATAAGATTAGGAGTCTAAATAACAAGTAAAAAAATCAATCTGTCAATCACTAAAGCAACAAACGTCTCAGTTAACACCATAAAGTCCAAACTGGATTAACTCCCATTTCTAAAATATTTAAGTGTTTCAGAGCTTCCATGCCAAGCTTTTTGTTTGTTTTGCTGGGTTTTGTTTGGGTAGGTTTGTTGGTGGGGTTTTTTTGACGAAAGACCACTTGTCTTATTGGAGCAAGAGGCAGTAACACAGCTGTCTCCAAAGCAGACCTTCCTCAAACAATTCTCGTGGTAGTGAGAAAGTCTGTGCTAAACAATAATCTGCTACTGGACTAATTCTAATCAGAGTTTTAGACAAACAAAAGATATACGTAAGAACTGTACTGGTTTGCACTGAGCAGTAAGAATCAGCACCAGGTATAACATGAATGGCAACCCCAGGTCTGATTCTGAATACCTCTAGACAAGCAAATCTCATGGAAAACAATTCTCTGTTCACAAGTTCAGATGATTAAAGACCAAGATATATCTGCTTACAGGATAGAGTTCGTAATTGTATCCACAGGCCTTACACTCATCAGTGGCACAGTAGGAGATCTGACTCCACAGCGAGAACAAGAGAACACCAATATTAGCCAAGCGCACGAAGACACACCTGGAAGAAAGGCAAAACCCAATTCCAAACTTGCCAAAAAAAGAGCCATTCTAACACCTGGCTCAACTTGTACAGGAGTCCAAGGAAGGCTTGAAATGCAAAAGGGTTGTACACCTTTAATGGAATGGCCAGCTAGATAATAAACACATTTCTTTCCTTAGTAGTAAGTTAAATTGCTTTTCACCTTCCCTGCTTTAGGCTACAGTCCCTTATTCCTTTTCTCGGTATTGTTCCTAGATCAGTCATTTCAGTTGCAGATCTTGATGCTGCAATGGGCTGCGATTCTCTCAAGTACAATTTGAGAGTCCATGTGAGAACTCTGTGTGCAGCATTTCCTTCTCACATGGCTTCAGACCTTCAGAGGCACTTGGCCAAATTGGAAATACAAAGCACAGGGGCTTGACAAAGTTCAGATGCTTCAGCCCAGATCTTACTGCCTTAAGCTGCCAAATGTTAGTTCTTCATGCTCTCACACTTAAGTATCTTTTATCCCAAAACTTTTAACTTCGGCCTTGAGCAAAGCCACGCTTCAGTCACTGCTGTACACACACATTTACTCATTCAAGGAACTGCTGCACACAAAACGGTTTGAATCCACAGCTCTGCAGCCACAGTTCTCTGCCAACTATTTATTCAGGTTGTTGAAGATGTCCAGATCACACAGCTAAATGGGACTGAGAGAAAAACTTGGACACTGAAACAACTGCACTGTACTGTCATCAAAACAGGAGACTGTTTCCAGATTTAAAATTAAAGCTTCCAACTAAAATGTAAGTTAAACAATGCCTGCTTGGCTTCCAGTGCCCAGGCCCTCCAGTGCAGAGTCCAACCTCTCTGCTTCTTGATATTTCAATGTTTACAATACTTATAACTTACCAAGAACATGTTGTTGAAATATCCAAGGCCACAATAAAAATGTCTTTACCTCATGAGCGTCAGCCTGATTTCAAAGGCTGGTGAATAATCTTCAAATCTGATCAGAAATGAGAAGATCTGAGGAGCAATGAAGTTGGCCAATGTGATCACCATGGAAGGCAAATACTGCAGTAAGAGATTAACCTGGAAGTTTGTATTGCTGATGTCCTGTACAAGAAGAGATGAGAGAAAGATAATACTCAGAGAAACACACCTTCCTGACATCGTGCTCTCTCCAGCTACCCACCAGCCTCTTTATCCAGGATTCAGGTAGCATCTTTTACTCTGTCTTCATCCTCCACCTATATTTGGAACTACAAGCCAGACCACTGCTATCTATCTCTGCAGTTTGCTGCTACACACTCTTGCTTTCTCCTACTTCCTTCACCAGTAACTCCCTCCACCTCCAGGTATGAGTATTTTTGCGCTTTCCCAAAGCTTCTGTTTGAAAAGGCTCATCTCACCAAGGCTTGCATGTGACTATGTTGTCTATCCCAGCACTAAGGCTACCAGCTTTTACACTTACGTCAAAGTTCAGACACTTTTCAGGTTATTTGCACTGGCACCAAACAGCCCCCCTGACTTTCCTACCATCTTAACAAGCTCCTCTACCTACTCGTTTAGGCAAGTTCAAGATATCAACCCTTGTAAATAAAGCCCACAGTAAATGAAGCTGGTTTTTGAGTTGTTCAGTGTTGTGCTATCCTTTCTCTGCCCTCAGACAATACCTCTGACACAAACACTTCTTTAGTCCCCATTTCTTGCTTCTGTCTCTGCAATCCTGGCAGTTTACAGAAGTTAAGAGTTAGGTCCACCACGAGCACAACTTTTCCCCTACACAGCCAGTGCCCATCACATCACCAATGAACAGACAGGAGAGAAAAAAATGCTGTCCCCATTCATGTCAGGCTAATTCAACCCTGTGGTCCTACAGAGAAGTCAATTACTGTTGCAAAACTGTTGAAACTATTGTCTGCTCCTGTTGTTCTGCTTCTGAACTGCTCTTCCCATCTGCTTGTCCTGCCAGGGGTTAAGAACCCCACCTAACCTGATTCTTTCCACTACTGATGCAAGAACCTTTTCTTCTGCAAAGCGCTCTGTTCGAAGCCTTCCTGTTTCCCCACACAGCTGTAACTCAAGCCACAATACAGATCATAATCTTTACTCTCCCCTTCCCTTGCTGTTCATTTTTGCAGTTGAGCAGTGAACCAGATCAAGAAACTGATCACGATAAAGCTTGTTTTAACCAGATCAGTTCTCTCAGCCAGTTCACTGCCCAGACACACAAGCACTTGTACTAGCAGATCACAGTGAGGTGAGAACAGTTACATAGGAAGGAAAATGAGGGCTGCTTTTCTTGTCAGCTGCATTAGCTCCAAGGCACAAGACACAGAAGCCTCAGCATCAAAGGAAGACATCACTGGGGTTTTTTTGCACATGGTTCTTGATCTTTCTCACTCTCTCCTACCAAAAAAAAAAAAATCTAAGTCTGTAGAAAGCATTTTCAGATCCCTTACATGAAAGGTGCTATATTAGGATACTTGACTCTTTCACAATAGTTCCTCTTGCTGTAATCACCAGCCCCGACTGAATCTGTTCTAATGTCATGCCTGATACTTACATTGGAGTTTTCTTGAGAGAAGACAGTTGCTCTATAAATAGAGTAAAAACATCCTGATAAAACTGCAAAGACGATTATATTTATAAGTATTCTCAGAGAGTAGATGCGTAGCTTTTCTTTCATTGTCCTGTCAGCTATTTTTTGCTTCAGTCTTTCTTCCTCCAAGTCTGTCTACAAACAATAGAAAAAGGATGTGTAGTTTTCTGGTGCAGCATACAGCGTGTCTTCTAACTCTGGGACATGCAAATCCGTAGCCTCTTCTAGGAAGGTCACCCCACAGCCTGCCCAAGCACACCGAACTGAGAGTGCCTTTTCATTGACACAAACAGGTCCATGCAGGAGTGGAAGCCCCAGTGTGCTCAGTCTCCTCAGGCCGAGGGCCCTGTAGCCAAAGACAAGTGTCTCGTAATCCTCTTATCTCTACTATATCAGTAACATATCTCCTTGAGGACAGAAAGACAACTTGCTTGTTTATCGTGAGTGACTGATCTCAGCTTGGTACTAAACTCTGAAATCAGTTAAATCAGCCTACTCATCTCTTTACTTCTGCAGGTAAGTAACCAGTCCTCACCACTATGGCTCGAACCTCCTTCTCCTACTCTTTGTGAAGGAAAACTGGGGGATGGCACAGAGAAAGAAGCAGAGTCTTGAGCACCTTGTCATGTAAACTTGATATATTTCACCTTAGCTGATGTGAAAATCACAGAAGTATCACCTGTGAAGGCAATTTAACCTGGGCAAACCCACAGATTACCCAGGTATTTTCTGGGGACTTATTTCCTGATAAAACTGCAATGACAATTATATTTATAAATATTCTTAGAGAGTAGATGTGTAGCTTTTCTTTCATTGTCCTGTCAGCTATTTTTCACTTCAGTCTTTCTTTCAAACAGTAATATTAAGGAGCAAGTTCTTCTAAGGTGTGAGTTCTAAAGGCAGAAGTGTGGTAAGTGAAGGAGGCTCTGGTTATATGATGAAAAGATGACTGTGAACTTTACTACAGCAGAAAGCAACTCACTGTAATTTATGAAATCCATAATTACTGCTTTGTGGTTTGAAGTGGAAGTATCTTTTCAAAGGTAGTTGTTTCACTACACAAATCTCTGCTTCCAGTGTACAGAGAGCAAAAGAAAGTACTGGTTTCACCAGAAAAGCCTTACAGACTCTCTTTTCAGAGAGCTTTATGGTTTGGGAAATCTATTGGCTGCATCAGCATTTTGTATGTGCATGTGTGTCAAAGACACCTAGTGAAAAACTTTCAGTATTTATCCTGAATTAATTAATCCTGAATGAATATCTTACTGCAACAGTGCTCTCAACTTGTATGAGGCATACCATCTGAATTTTATTCACATTGGAGACTTATAACCCAGTACACCCAAACTGATTCCTGACAGTCCAAGAGTCTTGCCCAAAGCTGGGATAGCTTTTCCTGTTGGATTATGTAGAAACTAACACAGGAAGCACGACCCGAGTGTGAGGAAGAGGCACATAAGATAAGCAGCTAACAGGTTGGCTTCAGTCCCCAGCGGACGGGGGAAGGGCTGTCATCCTCACTGCCAATCCTTCTCACGTTGCGCCACAATTCTAGCTACCTAAAAAGTATGCAAGAGGATGTGGGTAGCCCTGCCCCCACTATAAACTACTTCAATCCTTCTTATCCTTATTCCATTATCTGCAAAATTATACACCTCTCCTCCTTAGCCATCTAAGTTATATGAAACCATAATCATAGAAAAACGAAAGTTACTCACTTGGAGCTCATATTGCAAGCTGCGATGTTTTAGCCGTGCTGCATTTGGATCTGTGATGCAGAAGTCCCAGCCTGCAAAGACTTTGTTACAGTAACTCTGAAACTGGTCTTCATCACGCACCAAGTTCTGCTTAAATCCTTCCACAGACCTAGAGAAAAATGCAACTTCACTTCATTCATGAAAAGACATATTTTATCCACAGGAAAAGAAACAAAAAGCACACCTGGTTCATCAAAGACTAAATGACACCCTCTCCCCACCCCCATCCCTCCCAAGCAAACAGCCACATTTGCTTTATATCAGCAAGTCTCTGGGAAGCTTTCAGTGTCAGGTTCTGCAGTGACCAAAGTCAGCTGAAGCCGTGGTTGACACAGGTTACTTCCCTCCACACTTAGCCACAGTCATACTTTCTCACCTCATCCAGTGCTTCTCTGACACTGCAAAGAGCTAGTAGCTCAGGAAATTGAGATGGCAGAAGAAAAAAACAACAAACAGAAAACCAAAAGAAAATCCTCCAACAACTACCATACAGTTGAGGGTCTTTTATTTATATGTATGCATACATATGAAAAACTAACACTTCAAATTTATTTATTTTGCTGGCTCAGTTTCCCAAAGACAGACAAAGGCTACTGTGGCACTGCATCCTCAAGCAAAAGCTTCTCCATTTCCATCTAAACCAGTTCTAGAATGCAGCATGTTCCCTACAAGCAAGAATACAATGTAAACTATGCAATAGGTAGCAGTAAATAAAGTATATCAACTTGTTTACCCTTTTATTATCCAGAGGAGACTTAATCCAAGGTAGGCAAATGTAGCTAGCAGATATGCTAGTGGCAAGTTGTACCTCAGGATATTGAGCTGTGCAGTATCTATTGTGTAATAGCCATAAAACAAACTTGTCTCTTTAAGGAACCCCTGTGAAAACATTAAGTTTAAATGGAATTTGTAACAGTAGCATCAACTGCCCTGGTAAATCCAACCTGATATTAAGCAATCATTTTGTAAATTTAGAATTACTATTGGGGCCCCCAGCAAGCTACAACAGTCCATAGCTTCTAAATACTGACATTGCCTCTACCAAACTGTAATGCAGACACTACATGCTTAAAATCCCTCTACCAATCAAAGAGCTCTATGACAAGGACACTGAGACCCTACACAGAGAGCACAATAGGCAGCGTGCTCCAGAATATGTAACGTTTAGCAGCTGGGGAGGGGAGGTGCAGGCTGCACCATGTGGCCAACCAGGCCCTGTGGACACTCACTGCAAGTCAGTTTGAAAACTCCCCTTCCCGCAGATAAAGGATAAAGGCTAATTTTACTCCAGTGATGCATATGTCTTATCATTTTTCAAAATTCTCAAAGCTTCATTCGCCAAGCAAAATGTTTTCACATTTTACATGTTAAGTGAGACACAGAAACTTAATAAAAAGAATTCTAATTACTTACAGTGCCACTGAACAAATCTTGGAGGTAAGTATAGAAGTAAACAAGTCCCTTATTATCACTAGGTTTATAAACTGTGCAGTGAGGCTCTGTCAAAAGAAAGGCAGGAAAAGTCACTCAAATGATAATGCCCATTAAACAGCAAGATCAAGTTAATTCAAACATGGCAAGTTCTTATAAAAAAGCATCTCTTTGTCCTGGGAGGTGGAGGAGAAGCTGACGGAAGGGGGGAATCTTATAAACAGCAGCAGTACATACAGAAGTTGTTTACCTATGTTCTTTGGAGGAATTTTAGCAAAGCTACTGTTGAATAGTCCATATTTAGAAATGATGCTGGGAAGGGTAACAACACTGAACATCAGGATAAAAATTATAAAATTCAGCAGGACCAGAAAACGCAGGAAGGAGAAGTAGGACTGGATTCCAGCGCCAAATTTCCCTGGGAATGAAAGAAACACGTGCCAATAATTAAGACGACAAAATCACTGAAAATACAGAATGAGCAGATTATCATTTCAGCTACATTGAGTTAACTGATGAAACATTACTAAAGCTAGTTTTAAGTACTGCAGGCTTTTAGCAATATAACAGAAATGGAAATGTGACTTTTTAATAATTTTCTCTAATATATTTCCTTCTACCCCATCATGGATTCTACATCAGCAATAAGGGAAACAGGTAACTTCTTAAACACGTACAGTTATATCTGAAACTATGCTCACACATGTAAAACTACCAATAATAGAAGCAATTTTAAAGAGGAGAAATCGACATCAGACAATAAATACCTTCTATGCTGTGAATATCATGTCGCCAAAGCTCCAGATAAGACAACAACTCCTTGACTTCATTGAGAACTTTTTTCAATGATTTACTGCTAGTTCTTTTCCACTGCTTCCACTCAGATAAATATTTTATATCAGCCTGCTGACAGTCCCTAAGAATCAAGAAATACAGTTACTGAGCACAAGAAATACCTTCTCACTACATGTAACAGGGCCTAACACAATGGAGCCTGCTTGCAGCCTTTGGAGGGATAGTACAGTGCTAAAAGTTGGAGTAACACACACTAGCTGTCCCTATCTGTTCCTCCTGGTAACTGTGACATCAAGTTAATTCAAATATACTAAGTCCTCTCACAGAAAACACTTGCGTCTCTTGGAGAAAAAAAAAAATCCATTGACAATAGCACAACACAGGAGAAAATATGTAGCTGAACTTCCCGGTAGGATCTCGGGGAAGTTGCCATTAATTATTTTGTATTTACAAATGGCTGGAAAAGGAAGAGAAGATTCTTTCCTCAAAACTTCTTACCAGAGCATATTCACCAAGAGGCTCTTAAAAAATTTCTCTAAAATGCTTAGCTTTCTTCTTTTAATGTTATAAATGCATCTGTTCAAAATAGAATATTCTTTTTTTGTAGAAAACTCACAGATCTCAAAATCAGAATGAAATGTCAAAATAAATTGGGGGGAAAAAAGTAAAAAAAAAAAATAGAGAGCTATAAAGAGGCTTAAATATTTCATTTGGATTTTATAATTCTAACTTTTATATCATTTTCCAGTACATAACAGAAAACAAATGTTATTAAAATTATTCATTTTTAATTATTCAGTTTTTATAGTATTTTGAAAAAGTTGCTGGAAAGTGCCAACTCAATGTATTTGAGAAAGTATTTCTTTGCCAACATGTGTGGGGGTGTAAGCTGCAAACAAACACTGAGGATGTGCCACAAACTGTCTATAATTTTTAATCACTTCTCACAGATTTTCATGCAATATGCATACATTCGCATTTTAAAAATTGCTGCACGGTCAGCAACAGCATCAAGGAGAATTCTGAGTAGCTCAGAGTTTGCATTTTATTTTTTCATTTAAGAAACTTTAAAAACAGAAAAACATCCCAGAAACATAGCTTGAAGATTGACTTGTATGCAGCAAATGCTGTTCCAGCCTCTGATGCCACTGAAGAAGGGCAGCAGTTAAGCACCCACTGTGCTAGAGTAGAAGACAAAGGTTTCAATTCTAAAAGACTTTGTACGCAACCCTACTTCAGCGCGTGACTCACTGCCACACCATGCCACTGCACTGTGTGCTGTATGTTGACAAAGTCTCCATATTCTTCTGATCTGAAAGTAAAATTAGTGCTTTGGCAAGAAACCAAATTAAACCCTATATGCAACAATCAAACAGGCAGCAGATGACCTCATCTTTATGTGCAAATACAGCTACTCTCAAAAGATTTCATTTCGTGGAAACTACAGGCTACAGCATGTAGTGTTTTAAACAGACAGTTTGGAGAACTATCTGGCCCATGTTTGGTTTGCATTTTAAATAGAGGCGTGGGCTGCATATTCATCTGTGTTACAGAAGTTGAGTGTTCAGCTTTCAGGACATTTGTATCAAGCATTTTGTGTTGGCAGCTGCTGCACAATGTGCACAGCTTACTGATCCATATAAGTGCCAAGAAGCCCCACCAGAATCTCTCAGCGCCAAAACGTGTAAACAAGCTTGGGACATCCCAACTCCATTCCTAACACACACCACTGCCACAGGACTGCAGTTCTTTTTTCTTGAAGAACTGAGCTTTAGATATCCAATTTCAAATAAAAATTCAATGTATTGAGCACTTTACCATGACCTAGATCTTCTGCTATTCTTTGTGTAAAGGCTGTAGGGTTAAACTTAACTCCAGGGTCAGGCTGTAAGCTACTCTTGCAAGCAAGTAACTCTTATTCCCTGTGGAGCACCAGACATTAACTGTACTTTCACCTCTCTCCTGGTTCATAACCACAACTACAAAGCTGCACTTTAAATCAGGTACTGTTTCCTGACAACATAAAAACACATACTGTATCTTCTCTTCTCCAAGGAACTTTCAGCCTAGCAGTAAGACACGAGACAACAAGCAGAGAAATACAGGCAGGACAAAGCATGCTCTTTGCAATCCACTCCCTCCCTGCTGGGGGTTACCACCAGAGGGGCAGGAACTGCCTACAGCTCACAGCAAAGAGCAATTTAAAAAGGGATACAGGAAAAAAAGGAAGAAATGGTCCTGGAAAGCTTTCCACCTGTATTAAGCCACACCAGAGAGAGCACCAATGTATTTTGCAAGAAACGCTGAGAACAGGGGCAAGAACAGCAGTACTCACATAGCAGAAGGGGGTTGCTGATGACAGATAACTCACAGTGATGCTCAAAAGCACAAAACCCCGAGGTGCAAAAAAAAAAAAACCAAAAAGCCAGCGAGAAACGCGTTTGGCTGCTGCAGGTAGTCCTCACTCATTTCTTCCAGTTCAACCTATTCCTCCCCCCAGTCAGCTACTCCCTCGCAGCCAGCCCAGCGCACCGGGTCACGCTCCTGCAGCTGGAGGTGCCACAGGGAGCCTGCCGCGCTTTGGCCCGAGTACCTGGGCAGCTTCTTGTCAAAACCGCATGCCACTGGGTGAAACAGATGCAATTCTGCTTCAGCCTTCCATCACACCTACGTTGCGTTTAGGACAAGTTCGGGGTTTTGTTGCCTTTTTTTTTTTTTTTTAGAAAAAAGGGAAAAAACAGCGTGTAAAGATTAACCTCCATCTCCTCTTCTCCGCCATACTCAAGGGGAGTTCTCTCGCAGGGCGAGCAGCCAGCTCGTCTCCCTCCTGCTCCGGCCCCCGGGCCTCCGCGGCGCGGAGCCCCGCGGAGCCCCGCGGGACCGTCCGCCGCTCCTGGGTGCCCCCGGCGGCGGCCCGCCGCCTCAGCGCCGACTGGTAGCTGGGCAGCTGCTGCAGGAAATCCACAGGTGCGGCGGAGCGCGTCTCCTCGGGGAGAAAGACCTCTGCGAGAGGGAAGAAGCACAGGGGCTGCGGCGCGGGGCTCGCCACAACGGGGCGCCCGGCCGGCAGCAGCGCGGCCGCCCCCCGGGACCCCGCCGCGCTGAGGCGAGGCGCGG